TGAAGGGCACGTTGGGGGCAATCGGTTTCGGCGCTCTAGCTCTGCTCGCGGGTAAAGCGCTGATGACAGGTCTGATGGCCCTCATGTTATCCGCCATCGTCGGTCTGAAATCTCTGGCGAGCGGGGGCGAGAAGAAGACCACCTACGAGATCGTGAGCAAACCGGTGTACTCGAGTTCTCACACTCACAGCTCGGAGGAGCACCACGGCCACGGTTACGGGCATTCAGGATACGGGAGATCCCTGGACGCGATCCACGAGGACGTGGAGCAGGCCGTTCTGAAATACGGCAACGTGCGGGACCGTCGATCGTTGCTTCGACAAAATTAAGATTAACTCGTGAACGGAGGAGCCGCCGAACAGTCGGTGGCAGAGATCTAGTAGCACGTCTCTACCTCACCGAGTCTTCGTTTCCCTCTGTTATCCTCCTCTCACCACCTTTCCATTCGTATTCTTATTTCTTTTCTCCTCGACTTCGTCACCGCGATCTCTCTCCACCGCTATTATGTTCCTTCTCCTATACTTTTATCTCTCTCTGTCTCTCAGTCGCTCCATTCATCATTCCTTTTTCTCCTCTGTTCATCCATCGTTTCTCTGCTTCTCTCGTTTCATTATACTGTAATCTCGATCACCGTCACCGAGCTATAACTCGTAGATTCGTAGGTATTTATTTTATACTGGAGTCATGCTATCGCCACCTCCACACAGGTCACAAGGCTCGAGAAGAAGCTGGTCGTCGTTGCACATGGACCATCCTCGAATCGTGTACATGATTTTCTCTTTGTTATTTATATTGTATTTATTACTCATTGTAAAGTTTTAATAAAAAAAAATCATGTTTTTAAGAAACCGCTTTTGATCCTGTTTCGTATTTTCTTTTATCTTGTATTCTTGTATTCGAAAATTTATTGGAATTAATTTAATTGAATGATGCTAGATTCGCGTGCTGCTCGTAGCAAAAGGAACGAGAAATCGAACGAAATGACTCAAAGATTGCTCTTTGCTTCGGTCTGTCAAGTAAATTACAGACATCACGGATTACATATATAATAGCAAGATGAATGTACCATTTAATTAGATCGGTATGAAATAAGGTCGTTCCTTTCTTCGACGCACATGTCGAAGCTATCCATAATCAATTATCCAACATTTCTCACTGTTCGACACTTCCTCAATGAATACATTCGCATAACTCGTAAAAATAGAAAATATACGTCTTCAACACAATTTCCAATCCCAAAATAATTAATTTCTTTTCGAAGATTATACTTTCGTTACAATGTTTCTTAATTTTTCTTTGTTTCACAATTTTATTTATCGCAGAAAATAATAATTCCCTGCATATCTCTTCGATTATTATATCCAAGAAAATAACAAACGGCAGAAGATTTTATCATCGCAGACCGGGATCAAATTCTATTAATCTTTTCGCAATAATCTTGTCCCCGAATTCTCGAAAGGCAGCATCCTGCTCAGCAATCTAGGAGATCAAACCGAGTAAACGTTGTCATTACGTTGTTTACTCACTGGCGAATGATAAATGGTAATCGTGACAATGTTTGGAAAAAATACATTGGATGACATAAATCTTATTGTATATAAACGATATTACGATCTGATGGAAGTCAGTCTTTGGAAATCGTTTGGGGATCGATCGAGCAATGACGAGTTTCAGGAACAAAGTGCGCAAAGTGCAAGGATCGATGTTGATTGTGATTTTATTGGTGATCCCGATCGTGGTGCGAAGCCAAGCCAACGATGCGACGATCAAGAAGAATCAAGTGGATCCTTATAAAATCGTCGAGACCAACGATCGTCAATAGTACTTGTTCATTTTGTTATTTCGTTATTCTTTGAAAAATGTGTTTGTTTCATACGAGTGATTTCCTTTTCTTTCTTCCAATATTTCTGTGGCTCCATGGTTTCTTTCGCATTGAAATTATTGAAATTTTTAGCAACAATGGCCGAAGAGTGTTCGATTTCCGGAAGAACGGGATCAGAGTGGATATCAGAGTGGTACCGTCGTTGAAAAATGACTCGATCAAGGATGATGATGGGTTCCCGGAGTTTCCCGCCATGGATATAAACCGATGCGTTATCGATCTCTCGTTGATCTGCGCGAAAAATCGTCTCGGCCGATTCCTAGAGTCCGTGAGGAGCATGAACGAGATTCACTTAATGGGGCAAGACGTTAAACTGGTGAAGACCAGGACGAGGAGCAGTCGCAGATTCGTTAACGAGAGTAATGACAATATAGAGCGCAGCGTGAATGATTTCTTTGATACGTTCGCCTTGAGAATTACGTTACCCATGTGGAATGGGAATCGAGAAAAGAATCAGATCGATGTTATGTTCGACGAAACCGATATTGTGGAAGGTTTGTCAAATTTTAATGTTTAACGAATAATTAAACGAAATAATACATATACCGACGTGCGTATTATTACACTCTAGGAAGAGGGAAAAAAGGAGGTGGTGGTGGTAAAGGAGGTGGTAAAAGCAAAGGGTGTCAGATGATGATGATGGCAGGTCTTATGATGCTCAAAATGAAATTTATGGGTAAATGTATAAAATATTGCCTTCCATTCCAAAGAATATTCAAATATAATTAATTTTAATCGAATAAAAATTTTTTAAATCAGGAATGGCAACGATGAAAGGAATGATGATGGCAGGTATGTCCCTAATGATATCAATGGCAATGTTAATGAACAAATACATGAAGGGTGGCGGTGGCGGAGGCGGAGGCGGTGGTGGAGGTAATACATCACGAATATTCATCATCGTCGATTATCATTACGAATATAGAATGTACACATTTTTATTATACTTGATTACTTGCAGGCCAATACAAAGAAATTGTCCTCTTAACGAAATCTACTGGAGGAGGTGGAGGAGGCTATGGTGGAGGGGGTGGAGGAGGCTACGGTGGAGGGGGTGGAGGAGGCTACGGTGGAGGAGGTGGAGGAGGTTATGGTGGTGGTGGCGGTGGCGGAGGAGATTATTATGGTGCTCCACCGTCTATGAGTTATGGTGTACCCTCAGGTGGTGGTTGGGGTCGCAGTTTTGAAAAACGATTTATAACTACCAATGCTGACAAAATGAATTGTACAAATGATTCGACGAATTCACTTTTCAAAAGTGAAAAAAAACCTGTTCCATGTACAAATTTTATCAGCTCTAAGAATTATGGATACCCGTTTGTTAATTCCAATTTTACGAATTGGAATTACAGCAATCATGGGCAGCAACCACAGAAATATGAATATTTAATTAAAAATGTTAGTAACGTGGAAAATAATAACGAAATGGAGCCATTATTACGTTCTTCTGATAAATATGCTATTGATACGAATACTTATCGAGTAAATGAGGGTACAAGAGATCACGTGACTGATACAGGAACAATAGTTGATTATAGGGATAATGTCGCTTTGACGAATAATATAGGCAGCAATTATGATACAAATTTAACGCAACCGATTTACAATGACGAGTGGCAATCAACGGAAGAGAAATTACATCTCAAATTTGAATAGAGGAATTTCGAGAAAAAAATTCGAATGTTTCGTTGTACGATGAATTTGATGTAATTCTCGAAAAAATGAAAAAATTCGTGTACTATTTGAAAATAAAATTAATATTGAAAACTACTTTGTTCGTTTTCAAGAATGATTTAAAACCCATCAATGCGACCGAGATTTTAAATCAAGTGCCATTACGTGCAAAACAGTGGTGCGATCTTTCGAATAACTAAGTAAGACAATGCAGAAGAGTGTTTTACCTGTTTTCAAGTGTAACTTTTTATCCGTATGTTCCGTGAATTACGGATGAGGTACAGGATAGATCTATCATCGTTAGAATTATAAAAATAAAAAAATAAATAAAAAAATAAATAAAAAAAGAAAAAGAATTAAATGAATTTAATAATTCATCGGTAGAATATTGAAATTATAAAATTTCAAATATAGAAATAATTGTTTGTATCGATACAGCGCGTGCCTTTATCCGTCGAGTTATGTTTACATAAGCCTCAGTCTCGTTTCGACTTTCGATATCGACGCGTCGGAAATACGTGCGGAAATTTTAATTTCGTATAAAATTTGAAATCTTGCATGTATTTTATAATTTAAAAAAACATGCAGTGTCGGTATATTTTTTTATTGTTAGTACGGACGATCTAGAAGCTAGTGATGATTGGGTTTTATCTGCGAACGGTAAAACTTATGGAACTTTGTATCACGTGTTCTGAAATACCGACTTCAAAAAATACCGAAAGTATTTTTTATACTATAGCAAATTTTAATTTAAGTACACAAAATTGAATCATTCCAAAATACAAAATAAAAATAAAAATTTGTATTTATATACTTTATAATTTTAACAAACTTTATTTATTATTTACATATTATAACAAACTTTATTATTTTTTACATAAAATTTCTATCTAAATATAATCGCGATCGCAGCCAATTAGCTCATATTATTTCTTATAAAATATATAATTATACCACTGATATTAACTATACGGCGATATAATTATATATTGTATATTAAATAATAATGATTTCCCAGGTCTCACCGCTTGGAGGTTGCTGCGAATTGGAGACCCACCCTAGCCACGACATCCCATCCACCCTCCTTTTGCGTGTGAAAATTTATTTATATATTTATTATATATATTTTAAATAAATTCTCCTTTTGGTGTACGCTTGCAAAACGTTCAAATTTTTTACACGTTGCGCAATACGAACAACAAAAGGAACTATAAAAAGAAAACCGGCGCGGAAGACTAAATCTGAAAATGAAATTTTAATTAATCTATCGATATTTTACATTTCCATCATTATGAAAATGGAAAATAATTGATAGTTAGCAGCTTAAAAAAAAAGAAAAAAAAAGAAGCGAAATAAGCATTCTACAAAGCACTACTTTGGCCATTATCTACTTGTCTACAAACTAATTAACACCTCCCCTGATTTGCATATTTATTTGTAAATATATTTACATTTTTAAATACATTTTAATCAATATTTTTCCACGATGTAATCTTCTATTCTTCTAAGAAGTAAAGAATCCTGAAACAAACTTAAATATAGGATTAAATTTTTCCTACCTATTCTAAGAGCTCTTTTCCATATTTATCCATAAATAATTAAAAATATTTTATTTATGAAACCTGTCTATTAAAAATTTGAAGGATCCTTCTCACAACCAAACATCCATATCAACAACATCACAATTTTCAAAAATTCACAACACAAATATATGAACCACATGTGGTCAAAGAAGAAGTGAATGATACCTAGTGAACGAAGTCACGTAGATATCAAGTATCGAGGATTTGATTGTTTAAAACAAGGAAGTTTAGGAATGGCAATTTCATGATCATGTTGCCTTGAAAAGGAATACTCTTTCGGGAAACTATGAATCGGAGTAGGAAAGGCAATAATGCCTTTTAAGAAGAGGAAGAGAACATTAAATCATTTATAAATCCTATCTTATAAATTCCACCTAAAAGCTTTATTTGATCCTACCTAATATAAAAATTGAAATGAAAGAAGAATGAAATGATCCCTCTATTGAAAGATGAAATTTGAGGACTGAAGAGTTCCTGAAACAAATTATACAACAAAATTAGTGAAATTTAATAACATGGATAATTAGATCTAACAAATGAAAATCGAATCATTATTTCTTAATTACTTCTTCTTCTTCTCTCTATTTTCTTCAATCCGTACCTGTAATAAACTCAATCAATGGATTAGTAAAAAGTAAAAAGAAATATTAATTTTTAAAATAAAATCAAATCAAATCAAAATATTGTTAAGTAACTCATAATTTTAAACAAAAGATATTTATATATTTAAAAAAATACACTTTTTAACAGTATTTAATATTTTTTAAAAGTATTTTCAATAGAAAATGCTCTTAATAAGGGGATGCTGAAAAGAAAAAAGAGGTAACCAGAAGGGTTACCAAAAAAAAAATATCCACTCAATATAAACCCGAACAAACCGTGAGTGGAATCTTTTTTATTTCGCAACACTAATATACTAAAATCTCCAAAAAAACGCGAAGAGTGCCTTATTATATTTGCAATGCAATTCTTGAATAAAAAAGAAAAAGCTAAAAAAAAAAAATAAATAAAAGACTATTAATATATAATGAAATATATAATAAAATATATAATGAAATATTTATGAAATTCTCTAAATCAACTAATTTATGCACTCGTATTTTATTGCACGCAACACTAATAGCGGAAGGTTGCAGCCATATCAGAGGCTGCCGTCGTATAAAACCACCTTTGCAACTCTTTTGGTCGCAATAAGTGATCCAAGAGCTGGAACATGCTTCCACAATCCAAGTGGAAGAAATAATGGGCAATTCGTAAATTCGCAACACTACTATACAAAACGCGTTTATTGGTGAACGCAACACTACAAACAACGCGATCATTCGTCATCGCAACACTAATTCTTAACTAATTCTTAAAATGAATGCAATACAAAATTCTTTAAAAATTAATATCTTAATAATGTATCATATGATGGCAACAATAAAAAAAAATAAAAATTCAAATAAAAAAAAAATAATAAAAAACAGGCTAATTCATTAAAGTAATTAAAAACAATCGCGATATTATTTGCAACGCAACACTACAAGGAACGCGATTCTCATTTTATCGCAACACTAATTCAAAACGCGAGATTCATAAACGCAACTCTAATGCAACCCGTTATTGATGAATCGCAACACTAATAAAAAATCGCGATGCCCATGATGGCTGGATCTGGATGATGGGCCGGCATGCAATCGGCCAGACAACACAAACAATTACTACGTATTACTAAAACGAGCACAATGACAAAATAGTAACAATGATTTCCCATCCTTTGGACCCAAAAAACAGATCCAAAAAATGAGAAACCATTCGTTGCAGCCCCTCTTCGTGACAGTTTGTCGAGGCCTCTTCGGTCTTCCTCCTTCGGGCGCGATGCCCGCTGAAACTTAAATCTAGGCTCGAGACTCGCTAATCGTAAAGCAAAGAAAAAAAGGGGGAAAAAAAGGACTAAATCGCGGAAACTAAATGCGCATGGACGACCAACAATCACAACGATCGTTCTCCGTACATGCGCAGAATCTCGAGCGCAACGTTCGTTTCGAAACTTTTCGCGATCGCGTCCGCGAAATTCGAAAAATCGAATGAACGAGGCCAGAGACGAATGATATTTCCGTTCATTTATCCCAGCTTCATCCTCGATTTCTCAAATTTTATTTCCTGAAACAGATTGTCACGCGAAAACGCGCCTACCCGATCGGAGACTGTGACAACCTGCCCGGCCCTACCTACTTACAATTAACAGACATACCAGAAGTATACTACCTACCTACCTAGCCCTATATTTAAAAAATGAGCAAAACAGGCATACCAACACACTCATACCACGATATTCTCACGCATAATACTCGGGCGCAAAAGCCTACACTAGGGAAAACGTCCCGGGACGCCTCC